CAGGACGGCAGTGGGGAAGGAGAGTTCTCTAAGCTACACCTGGTATGGAAAGCATGAGACTATTTCCCATGGGCACAAAAGAACAATGACATGGACAGAAAGGCAACCAGGTGTGATTAGTCTTCAAGTTCACTCTTTCTTCTGCCAAGAAGAAGCTGCTATAAATTTTAGTTCTAGAATTTCCATTTGGTTCTTTTTTCATAGTTTCTATTTCTCTATGAAGATTATTTACCCGCCCACTCACAATTTCCCTTAATTTTTTTTTAACACATCTTAAAGTTGGTTTGTACTGACTGCCTTTGTTTGTTTTTGACCCTTTGTTGACTTTTTGTTACCACCTTTATGGGGGAGAGGCTTCCTGGTGATGGTAGTGTCATAACTGGATCAAGCAATGCTACTACAGGGTGACAAGAGTCTAATGTGAACGCAGTCACTTCAAGTGGACCAGGGCGTCGTCCTTGGAAATGGTGAATAATCTGTGATGATTTCCAGTCTTCAAATAAGTAAGACAACTGCAAACCCCTTGTGAAAAAATGTAAAGGTAGCATCTCCAATATCCTCAATCAGCCTCAAACAACTGGCAGAACCTTCCCACTCATTAAAGCGCAGAACTGGAAGAGAGTTTAAAACATTAGCATCTAACTTTCTGCATCAGCCGAGTAGAAAGGATAGTCTCCCCCAATGATTAATTTTTCTCTAAGCAAAAAAGCAGCTTCTTTTCATTTCCTAATATAAAGTTAATACATACTTAGAGAAAAAAAATCAAAAGAGATAGTCATAAAGAAGAAAGTCCTCAGAGAAATTACAATTACTATTTTGCTACACATCCTTCCAGATGCTTCTGTATGCAAATATTTATGCATACAATTTTATATGACTAGAATACTTATACATGCTTTTAATTCAACAGGTAGTAAATATCATTCTCAATAAATATAGACACACATCTTTTTTAGTGACTGTATATTCCATTGCCTAAGTGTATCAAATGTATTAAACCAATTCTCTATGGGAGGGCATTTAGTTCTAGATTTTTGAAATAAGGAACATTCCTTCTGCTGTCTGTGTGTGTGTGTGTGTGTATGTGTAACATCTTTGTGTAGTTTTCAGATTATGTCTCCTTGGGGCAATACTTTTCATTATCTCTGGGCTGAAGCATATTCAAAATTTTTAATAATAAGTAAACTATTCCTACCAGGAAGACTGTACTAACTCATGCTCCCACCAACAGTAAGACCATTTCCATCTTTTTTTTTTTTTAACTGAGTTCATTGGGGTGACATTGGCTCACAAAACCATACAGGTTTCAAGTGTACAACTCAACCAAACATCATCTGCACACTGCATTGTGCGCCCAACGCCCAGAGTCAAGTCTCTTTCCCTCTCCATTTATCCCTCCTTTGCCATCTTCCACCTCCCCTCACCCCCTTTCCCTCTGGCTATCACCATACGGTTGTCTGTCTGTGATATATATGGTGGGTTGCTTAATCCCTTCACCTTTTTTCACCCAGCCCCCCACCACTGCTCCCCTTTGACAGCTGTCAATCTGGAGACCGTTTCCATCTTTGGTCATGCTGGGTATGTGCAATCTTTTCAAACTTTATGAATGTATCAATCAAAAGTAACATCTAAATTGTGTTGAGTGGCCTGCTAATGAGTTCTAGTGCAGTGTTGAGGATGGGTACCTTGCCATGTGCTCCTTTCTGGCTTTAAAAGGATAGCATATGCACTATACGGGGGCCTGGGATGTAATTTAGGCAGTCTGGCTTCCATACTCCTAGCTTTATTGCACTAACTCTGTGTCCTTGGGTGAGCCACTCAACCTTTCTATGCCTTGGCTTCTTCAAATGTGAATGAAATGGGTATTCTTGAGCTTCCTTCCCAGCTACTATCAGGAGGGGCAGGTGGGTAATGCACTGTGCAGATCTGTCAGGTCAGACACTGTTGGTTGACTAACACAACACCATCCCCAAACCCTTTCTCCTTGCCTGTCTTTACTATAGAAGAGGCTGGAAATGCTCAATATCCCCTTTCTCAGCCTCTTTTTAGAGCTAATGGGTGGCCATTTTACGTAGCTCAGGCTAATGAGATGAGAAGGAAAGTTTGTTGGGATGCTTCTGGGAAATCCTTTGTTTTCCTGATGAAAGAAACAGACACAAGAGAGAGCAAGCTCACAGGTGCTCTCTCTCTCTCACCCTCTGCCTTCAATGCAGACTTGATGCCTGGACCTGCGGGGTGGTTGTGGTGACTCCGTATGATGTCAACTCAGATAAGCAGGATCTGTTTTCCAGAATTCTGCATGGTTTCAGGTTATTGTTGGCCATCAGAGAAATGTTGCACAAGATCTGGAAGGCAGCAGCGAAGCATCAGCCATGGTTTCCATGTTCTGAAGGGCAATGCAGGGCTCCAGGCGTGGAGGTAACTCTAGCACATTGTCACTAATCTGCTGGCTCACCTTGGGCATGAGGCAGCACCCAGACTCCAGCTCCTGCCTGATCTCCTTCTTCAGCCTCTCCAAGTCCTAAGCCAAGTGCATGTGCAGCTCCATGAAGGGTGCCAGCTTCCCTGCATTATCAAGGCCAGAGGTAGTAAGAGACACACGCAGATCTAGCCTGTCTTTCCAGTTGTTCATGAATTCCAGTTTGTCCTGCAGATTCCAAGTCTGTTCCTACTCTCATCCAAGTCCAGCTTTCTGCCCTGACTGCCTTCTGGCTGACCTATGGTGACTTCAGGCTTAACACTAGAATGAAAGACAGCAAACAGCCTTGCATAGACTCCTCCAGCTTCCACGATCATGTAAGCACTGAACAACAGAGCTTCTGTGATGATGAAAGTGATTTATGTATGAGCAGCCCTAATAGGATAACCACAGCCACACGGGCTATTGAGCACTTGACATGAACCTTGTACAACTGAGAAATGAAATCTTTACTCTTATTTCATTTTAATCCATTTAAATTTAAAGAGCCACATGTGGCTAGTGGCTACCATATTGAACAGCATAGGTCTAGTGCCTAATAATAAATTTCTCATCTTTGTCACTCATAGTGGTTCTGTTTCTCTGTTGAATCCTGATATGGACGGCAACTGGTGCCCATGTGCAGAAGAGCATGCAGATGGAAAGCCAGCACTCTAGGAATGACAGGGCTGGAGAAGCGAGTTCCCGGAGGCCCACCAACCTGCCACTGTTGAACATTTTATGAGAAAAATAGAACCCCCTTAGTTTGTCCTGTTGGAACCCCATCCCCATTTCAATCCCCAGGCCAGGATGATCAATGTGAGCTAAAATATTCACGGAAAGCAAGTAGGCTCCAGTAAGGTGTGCTCTTCAGCAGGCGGTCTTTCCTTTGCTCCAACATGAAGAATGGTTGTCCCTTGCCGGTTCCCTATGCAGAACCTCCCACCTCCCTGTCCGCTCCCTTTCCCCCGTGAATATGACCTTCCTTATAGAATATAATCACCCCTGTTGTCTGTCGAACTGAATTTTTTTTGTTTTAAACATCACCCCATTTTCACGATTCTGCAATATCGCAGCAGATGGTGAACAACCATCTTTGCCAGCTCCAGTCTCTTGAACTGGCCGCTTAACCAATAAACTTTACCAGGAACGGGTTTTGCCAGATAGGCCACAGTTAGCTGTGAAAAAAATTAATGGTTGAACAATCTTGTCTTTCAAGGCGGAGTTTGAGGAGAGAACCGTGGTAGTAAGCAGTTTAAAGCCGTTTCCACAAACACAGTTCTACACAAATCCAAGGAACATTGTGTGGTGTTTTTTTTTTTTTGGGGGGGGGGTTGTTTTTT